CCGTCGCTGGCGACTCAGCACCCCAGCTCCAGTTCAAGCTGTTGTTCACCATCTTAGCTGTAGAGGGCGCAGTGTCACTGGCCCTAATGTGGGATCCGAACCGCAGCCCTGCTGCTCAGAGCTGGTGCTCCCAAACGAGCTCTTAATCAGCTGAGCCACTCAGCTGGCCCTGTTTTTTTTTTTTTTTTAAATAGGAGAAAACATATTACAGCAGCATTTGAGAACCTGAGAATTTAAGGTTTCTGTAATGGATAAGAATTCATCTCTTAAAACTTAAGAAGTGCTTATTGATGCCCAGTGTTTGCCAGACCCTAAGCTGGATAGAGTGGTGAACAAGACAGATATGGTGGAGTTCTGGTCAAAGGTTAAGTGGGCTGCTCCCTGGGGCAGTGGTCTGAGCTGGCTGGGGGTCCAGCAAAGCACTCAGACCACAGAGCAATGGGTCAAAGCAGGCTTAGAGGTCACCTGGTGCGATTTCTTGTTACTCAAGGATACACAGTCTCTGCCCCCTGCCTTACACCCTATGGGGCCTCAGCATCCTTAAGTTTGAAACAGAGGGCATTGGACCTTGAAGCTTGCTCGGGCTCTGTAATATTTGATAATATTACAAATATGGGGAAGTTCCAGGGAGGTGGATTCAGCCCCATCCCAATTGTGACTTCTGTCCTCTGCCTTTTAATACCGCGGCAGGGGGAGGAGTGACAGAGTTCAGTTCATGGAGATCTTTCTTAAGCATATTCGTGGGACCCAGAAGGAAGGCACCTGGCCTGCCTCACCTTGGCAAAGTGGTCCCAAGGGGATAGGGTTTGGAGATGGGTCCTCAGTGGATTCAGCCCACTTCTCATATTTTCTTTCTAGACTTTCTTTCTCTCTTTGCTGCCCCTGAATCCCTTGCTTGCGTCTTTTCTCTTCTCTGGCACCTCAGCCCCTAGAGCTCCTTAGTTCTCCCCAAGGAAGGCCTGGCCTCTTATTCTAAGGTCATCTGTTCTTCAGTTTCATTTAGGGGAAGGAAGAAGGGGCTTCTAATCCTCTGGAGGGTGGGGAGACTCACTCCCATTGACTGGCAGGGGGAGGGGTGGAGTATCTATGGGATGATTTGCACTGCTAGGACTGACTTCCTCATAGCATGTCTTGAATGTTTATTATGCTGAGTCTCTGTTTGTCCTTGCTTTGAGTTGCTTTATCAAAGGCCCCAGTATTCTAGTTTCAGGCTCTAGGTAAAGGTTGTGGGGAGGCAGGGAGAAATAGCTCTCCTACCATGTAAAGAAGACATTTAAAAAGTTTCTAAAAATCAGAGCTGCCTAACACTGCTTGCCAGCATGAAGGAGCCTCAATGGGGGTGGCTGGATGTCTCCTTCCAGGGGTCCTGCACCAGGTGGGAAGCTCACTCAATACTAGATGCACCCTAGGCTCTTCCACTGAGCAGATTCTCAGGGCAAAGACAGAATCTATCCTGTGGGGAATCCTAATGTTCCTGTTTCTGCTCCCAGTTCCCCAAGGGATTATGTTTCTAAGTGCACATTTTATTTCAGAGCCTGGGTGCCTCTGATTTGTAACCTGATAATGCAGTGCTTAACTCAGGTGGATGGGCCTGGCACTGGGTGTTTGTGGAAAGGACACAGGCTGGGCTCAGAAATGCTCTATTGGCCATGATCCTGGATGGAAATGCCTGGTTTGAGTGGGGTGGTGCCTCGTGGATGATTGCTGGGTTGGGCAAGAGGAGGGACTTGGACACCCTGTTTTTCTGTTTCATTTCCAAACCCTGGAGTGTCTTTCAGCCGACAATGACAGTAGCACCTTTATTAACCTCCTGGCTTCTCTTAGTGCTGCAAAATGCCCTTCCTTCTCCAACTCTTATAGGTAGATTCTTCCTTGAGAAGCTTCACTCTGCTTTGCCCAGCATCTCCAGGGCCCTCAGATGCTCCATCTGAACCCCCTCCATCCTTTTTTCCCCTTGATCATCCCTCCCTTCTTCCCCATCTCCTTCTCCAGGAAGTCTTCTTTGAATGACCCTCAGTATCGTTGCTCAGGGTCATTGCATTCAGGCCTCTGGCTGCTTCCTTGTCTTGGGGACGTGCCTAGCTGTCCCACAGCCGGGAAGCTCCGGGGGCAGGGTCTCGGTCTTCTTCTTCCTTGGCCTCTGCACGTGCCAGGCACTTATTTTTTAGGTGTGTCAGAATAGGTCATCTGGAGTCAGTGACAGACACAGTCAGGCCGAGAGCATCTTGCTCTCCAAGACCCAGCCCAGGCACAGGAAGGGATAAAAGTCTCGTGCCGGTGCCTCGGGGCAGGAACTCACACACCTTTGACTGTCTCCTGTCTGTTCGCAGCTGTGTGACTGTGGGTTTCTGCCATGTCTCTCTCCCCGCGCCGGTCCCAGAGGGGTTTCAGTGCTCACTCAGCTTGTTCTGCTCGCTCGGGGGGCCGAGGCAGGGGCAGCTTCAGCAGCAGGAGCCTCAATTCCTTTGGGGGTTCCCGAGGAGGCTCTCGCGGAAGGGCCTGGGGGTCAGTGGGAAGGCTAGGGATGCAGTTTGGGAACAGGAGTGGTGGGCCTGGGCTTCTCCTGTGCCCTCCGGGGGGCATCCAGGAAGTAACCGTCAACCAGGATCTGCTGACCCCACTGAAGATTGAGATTGACCCCCAGTTCCAGGTGGTGAAGACTCAGGAGACCCAAGAGATCAGAACCCTCAACAACCAGTTTGCTTCCTTCATTGATAAGGTGAGGGTCGATTTAGCTAAGCCCCTGCCTGTCTCAGTGCCTCCCTCAGAGGAACTCTTCTCAATGGACTTGGGCATGGGGAAGTCTGGCCTATCACTTTTCTAATTACTTCTGCAGCAAGGAAGTCCCTCTGTGGTCTAACTGGAGTCTCTCTGGTTATGCTGAGGCCCTTTTGTTCCATGCTCAGGGCTCAGCAGCAGAAAATATCCAGCCAGCAGTGGGAAGACCCTTCTCCATTAGTCTTTCTGACTGTTTTGATGTGATCTGAGTCTCATGAAAGGGCAAGAGGCTGTTCCTGCCCAGGCTGGGAAAGGTGGGCTGATTGGAGGGTCCCTGAGGCGCGGTGCCCAGGAAGTCCCACAGGAGCCTCAGGGACCCTCTGCCTGTGCTGTAGGTACGGTTCTTAGAGCAGCAGAACAAGGTCCTGGAGACCAAGTGGCACTTCCTGCAGCAGCTGGGGGTGAGTGACAGCCCCCAGGGCCTGGAGTCTTTTTTTGAGGACTACCTGGCCCAGCTCAGAAAGCAGCTAGAGGAGCGCCAGAGACAACGATGGGCTCTGGATGCTGAGCTGAAGTCTTGCCAGGACCAGGAGGAGGAGTACAAGACCAAGTAGGTAGACCGCAGTTCCCTGTGGGTCCTCGGTGGAGTCTGGGAGTGCTGGATCGGGGCTGTCAGCTGAGGGTCTCCCCCACACATGACTGGGCACCCCTCTACATCCCATTTCCTCTGACTCTCAGGGTGCCCCACCTGCTGCAGGTAAGGAGGCCCTGTTGCCCCTGATGCCCAGGTCAGGAGAGCCTCAATTCCAAGAGGCCCCAGCTCCCAGGCCCCTGTTTCTGGTCAGCCCTGGGAGAGGCTTATTTAAACAATGCCTCAGTGGGTTTTTCTTGAGAAATTCCTGTTAAACAGGCTGTGAACTGAAGTGACTCAGATGTTCTCTGGTCTCAGGGGTGGAAGGGAATCCATTTTGTGGGACCATCCCCAGGCCCTTGGCATGATTCACAGCTAGGCTGTGGTTCTGAACTCCTCACCTAGGTCACCTGGTGATATGGAGAGAGCCCTGGACTAACAGGAGGCTTGGGTTCAGCGACTATGAGCAAAGGGTAGCTGTGTGGCCTTGGGTGAGGCATGTTACCTCGCCCAGCCTCAGTTTCTATATCTGAAAACTGGGAAGATGTCACCTGCCCTTCTTACCTCCCAGGGTTGTTGGGAGGATGGGACTGTGGGGTAAAGCGGGCCCTGGAAGAAGTCCAGGTCTGGGGCCAGGAGATCCAGGTTTTAGGTCTGCTTGGCTAATCATCTAATCATCTCGACTTGGGCAAGTTGTATAATCCAAACTGCCTGTTTCAGGTGATGATTGTGAGTAGTAAGTGAGAAGAGGTGTTTGAAAGTGCCTTATAAACATGAAGTGAAGTGGCCTTATGTCATTAAGGGGACATGGGCTGAAAGAATTGAGAGGGACATAGCTAGGATGTGACAAAAATCTTTCTGATAAGTAGAGACACAGGTTGGTTCTGTGTTCTGCTTTGGAGCATCTAAAGGCAAGAATGGCTTTTCAGGGAGGTCGTGCTTGGGGGAGGGGCATGGGTTCTGATCGTGGCACCTCAGGCAGCGTCCATCTGTACTTACTTGGCAGGTATGAACAGGAAGGTCACAAGCGTGCCACGGCTGAGAATGACTTTGTGGTCTTCAAAAAGGTGAGGGTGAGGGTCAGTCAGCTGCTCCACGTGGATCCTGAGCGCCCACAGTGCACAGAGCCCAGTTTGGGGCTGGGAGGGCAGAGGGTGGGATATCCTTGTGCAGGCTACGCTCTCATGCTGCCTGCAGGAGCCCCACAGGGAAAGGGGACATCTACCTAGACACAGGGACCCCAGGACAAGATCCAAATGAAAGATCATGTGATGAGTTTTGGGTGTCACTGCGGGAGAGGGTGGAGAGGGAGTAGAAGAAGCAGAACTGGTTGGGATTAATCAGGGAAGGCTTCCTGAAGGTGGTGTGTGGGTCAGTGTCAGGCAAGAGAGAGAGCAGGGCAGGGCAGGGCTGGAGGGGGAAAGAGCAGGTCTTCAGAGGTGGCCGAGGGTGGGTGTTGGGCAGTTAGTGAACAGAACTCCTGAGCCAGAGTAGGGTCCACAGAGAGGAAGTCAGGGATACACTGGTTTGTCTCCTTATCCCCAGGATGTGGACGAGGTTTTCCTGAGCAAGATGGAGTTGGAAGGCAAGCTGGAGTCCCTGAGAGGGTACATCTTCTTCTTGAGGCGTCTGTATGAAGAAGTGAGGCTCTGCCAAGGGCACAAGTGGTGGTCTCCAAGGGCAGGTGGGAGAGAGGGGAGGTGATAGGGTGGGCAGGTTCCCTGTGGCTACAGTATGAGAGGCCAGGAGGTAAGCCTGGTTAGGGTGACTTATATCCCAGTCATCCAGACATTTGACAACAATTACTGAGAACATACTCTATGGATTGCCAGGTACAGGGGATACATCAATGAATAACCCCACAAAAGTCATGAAGCTTGCTTTCTATTGGGAGATGGATGATAAATGATAGACCTAATAAATAAGTAATTTATATAGCATGTTATAAGGTGATACATGTTACAGAAAAAAAGAAAATTAGAACAGGAAGAGGAAGATTGCAAATGCTGGGGGTAGGGCAGGTGGAAATTTCAAATAGGGTGGTCAGGGAGGCCTTATGTAGAAGATAAAATTTGAGGAAAGACTGGAAGGAGGTGAGGAAGTCAGCCACACAGGTGGGAATCGGGCATTCCAGGCAGAGGGAGTGGCCCACAGCCCTTGTGTTGGTATCTGAGGAAATGCAAGGAGGCAGTGTGGCTGAAGCAACAGGGGCGAGAGGGAGGGGACGGTGGTACAAGGTCAGAGGAGTGATGGGGACTAGGTAATTTCTGGCCTTGCAGGACGTTTTCCTTTAATGTCCAAGTTACAAGAATCCTTGGAGACTACCTCCTACAGCCTTCATTTCAGATGAGGAGACAGTGCCACAGAAAGCAGGGCGGGCTTAACACCACCCATTGCGAATGAGGCTGCCCCTTGATGGAGTGTGGGAAGAAAGTCAGCATCCTGCCCACCTGCCCGGGGCTCCAAGGGGAAAGGGTGTTGGGGGGCGAGTGGACAGTGAGTCAGTCTTCCCTGCAGGAACTGGGCCAGCTCCGGACCCAGGCCAACGACACGTCCGTGGTGCTCTCCATGGATAACAACCGCTGCCTGGACTTCAGTGACATCATTGCTGAGGTCCGTGCCCGGTACGAGGAGATCGCCCAGACCAGCAAGGCCGAGGCCCAGACACTGTACCAGACCAAGGTGCCGGGGCCAGGGGGCAGCAACATGCTGGAAAAGGCTGGGTCTCCATGCCCGCACCCCAGGGTGGTCATTCACCTCAGTCCCATTGAGCAGTTCTGACACCCTTCCTGAAGCTCCAGGGCTGGGTGGGCATGACCACTTCCCTCTCCAGGAAGGAGGCGATTCAGGGCCGCCGTGGGAGACAAGCCCGGACTTCTGCAAGCGCCTCCCACCGTGTCCCGGTCTCAGTGTTTAACCCAAGTTCCAAATGAGGATGTGAGGAGGCAAAGAATGGGGAACACGGGGTTTCTCATGGTCTTGGTGTCAAAGGTGAAGGTCTTCTCAACTAATGGTGCCACCTCTGTCCCCCCTCAGTACCAGGAGCTTCAGGCGTCTGCCCAGCTTCATGGGGACAGCATGGAGGAAACCAAAGTCCAGATTTCTCAGCTGCAGCAGGCGATTCACAGGCTGCAGAGTCAGATTGAGAACCTCAAGAAGCAGGTGAGGGTCCCAGAGCTCTCCAAGCCCTGCCTTTTACTGCCTATTGCACCGCTGCCTAGGTTTGTGTGAAACCTTGATAGCTGGCTGGAGCTTCGGATAATTTGAGGTGGAGAGAACCTCAAGTTCCATTTAAGAGGACTTTAGCCTTCCTCCTCTGAATTCTAGTTGTATGGGCTCTGCACTGAACAACTCCAGGGGGCGCTGCTTATGCTGCATTCCATGTCCGGGTTACATGTTGCTCTAGGCAACTTGGGGAGAAGGTTAATTCATCTCTTTTCTTATTTCTTCATTTGCTTTTACTCCTCAAGCCCAGCAGGGACTCTAAGGCCATGCACTGAATTTCCTAATCCCCTGTTGGGGAGGGTGAAAGCCAGGACCTCAGGGAGCAGGGGACACCGAGCTGAGCTCTCCTTAGGAGGTGGTGCTGCTGTGCCTGGCGTGGGCAGGAGAAGGCGAGGTGGAGGGAGAAGCTGGCAAGGGCAAGGAGGCGGTTTCCTGCTCCTTCTGGAGGCCTCATTTCTAGACGTGAAGGATTTCAAATTAACTTTTCAAGTGTCTTTGCACTCACTTTCCTCAAATCTGCAGAATTGGTTTTGAGATCAACAGAGCATTAAGAGCTGAGACCACAGACTCAGGAGGTTTCCTCAAGCACTTCAGCTTGGCTCCCAAGTCATACGTGGCCCATCCACTCCCACCAGGGCCCTCCTGGGAAAGTTTATGGAGCACAGTTCATTTAAAGCCCAGACTCAGTCTCCAACCATCCTTACCGGCTCTTCTTTGGAGTGAGATTGCAGGACCCGAGATCTTATTATTCAATTTGCTGCCACAGTATTTTGCCCATAGATTTGGAATCCTGGCTTTGGAATTCCCTGGAGTAGTCTGTTAAGATGCAAAATTCTGGGCTTCTTGCCAGACCAAGGGAATTGAGGATTCTAAGGGTGAAGCCCAGAAACCTGCTTTCTAAACTCAGTTCACTCAGTTGATATGAATACATAGTCTCACAGCCCAGCTGCTAGCACTTAGGAGTGGTACTATGTCCCCTGGTCTGGGAGCAATAGCTCCTCCCACAAACACTTCCTGTGAGAACCCCTCTTGGGGATACAACCCCCTTCACTCCTACTCTTCATGCACAGGCCTGATGAATTGGGCTCCTCAGTGCTAGGCCCAAGGTAGAACCTACAGGCTCCAGTTAGAGCAGTGGACAGGACATCAGTTGTCCTGGGTTAGGGTCCTAGCTCTGCCACTCACCACCTTCCGGAGCCTCAATTTCTTCATCTGTAGAATGGAGATGATGTTTCCTATCTGCAGGTTGCTTGTGTGGGAATAGGATATGAGAGCCTTTAGGGAATGCCTTCTTTCCTGAACCAAATGTGAGGGTCAGTCAGCTGGATGGCTGATTAGACAGGGGTCTTGTCCTTCTTCTACTAGTTTTCTGTGGAATTGGAGAGGTAAGTACAGAGAGTATATTTTTCACACCAAAAATTGGGACACATGGTTTGATAAACTCTGACTACAGGACAAAATATTTGAAATGGGACTGTTCTAAAAAAAAATCAAGGACTGTGATGGCCCTCAAGATGAGACTTGTAGATAATGACCCGAACAGGACAGGAAGAGCTTTAAGTACCCTGGAGAGATTCAGGTAAAGTGCTGAGGGGTTGGGGGTGGGAAGAAGTAGGGGACATCACTGGAGGAGGTGGAAAAGGGGTAAATTAGTTTCCTGTGGCTGCTGTAGTAATGTACCACAAACTTGGTGGCTCAAAAACAACAGATATTTATTCTCTCAGTTCTTGAGGCTGAAAGTCTGAAATCAGGTGTCAGCAGGGCCACACTCCCTCTGAAAGAGCTAGCGGGGAATCCTTCTTTACCTCTTCCTAGCCTCTGATGGCTCCAGCAATTCCTTGGTGTTCCTTGTCTTGTCACTATCACTCCAATCTGCCTCTGTCTTCATGTGGTGTCCTCTCTCTGTGTCTGTCTCTGTGTTGTTTCATCTTTTTCTAGGGACACCAGTCATTGGATTTAGAGTTCACCCTACATACAATATGATATCATCTTGAGATCCTTAACTAATTACATCTGCAAAAACCCTATTTCCAAATAAGAACACATTCAAAGTTCTAGGTGGATATGACATTTTGGGGGACTCTATTCAACCTATTATGGGAGTTAAGGAAGCAGAAGAGGCAATACTTTCCCTTAGAATGGGAGCAGCTGGGAGGTGACCAAGGATAATTTTGAGCTCATGAGATTATGGTCCACCCTAGCCTTTAAGTTATATCCACAGTGGGTGCTTTGGGAGGCTGTGTTGTGCTTATAGCCACTTTCTCCCTCATTTCTACACCTCTCCCAGATTGCCAACCTGGAAGCTGCCGTCACTGATGCTGAGCAACGTGGTGAGCTGGCTCTCAAGGATGCTCAGACCAAGCTGGCCAAACTGGAGGTTGCTCTGAAAGCCTCCAAGCAGGACATGGCCCGGCTGCTGCGTGACTACCAGGAGCTCATGAGCACAAAGTTGTCTCTGGACGTGGAGATCGCTACCTACCACAGGCTGCTGGAGGGCGAGGAGTACAGGTGGGGCCAGTCAGAGGGACCTGGGAATATGTGCTGAAGGTGGGGCGGGTGGTGGATGGAATGCCAACACAGAGCTTTTCTTGGTGAGGGGGATTCTGAGAGGTTACCTGACCCTGTAAGACACTGAGGACAACCCATTCTGCTGGAAGGGGTTTTAAATTGGGGACCATGTGTTTTATCTGCAGAGAGGGTAGGTGATCAGCTCCAAAAGGCTTAAAAGTACCTGGGGATGCATTCTTTGCAGCCTTCTTAGCAGTTCCTCCTCTTGTCCTTTCTTCCCTAGGATGTCTGGGGAATGCACCAGCCAGGTCACTATCTGTGAGTATCAAGGGATTTTTGAGGGGTCCCCATGGGGAGCCAAGGACCGTGCTGTGACGCTGGTGTATTTTTTTGGCAGCCACGGGGGAAGGCAGCATCGTTGTGTCTGGAGGAGCTGGCGATAGCCTGGTGGGCACTTGTGGACTTGGAGGCGGGAAAGGCAGTTTTGGGTCCAGCTGTTCCAGTGTCGTTACCGGAGGCTCCAACATCATCCTGGGCTCTGGGCAGGGCCTTGTTATGGGCTCCTCCTCTGTGTCTGGTTCCGGGTCCAGCTCCAGCTGCCACACCATCCTGAAGAAGACAGTTGAGTCAAGTCTCAAGACGTCCATCACATACTGAGTGCCATGACAGCCGCTTGCTCCCCTGTCCCTATCCCCATCACCTCAATCCCTGCATGGCCAGCTCTGTGTCCACTGCCTACCACCCGAGTCAACCCACAGGGGATGCTGCCAAAGTCAATAAAGTCATGTTTGCCCGCTTTTCTGAGTGTTTGCCCAGTCTGGCCTTGCCCTGCTTGCTGATTTGTCTAATTTGTCTGCTATCTTCCCCAAGCCAAGGTGCACAGTGCCCTGTCCTCCAGCCAGCCAGCCTCATCCTCTTCTCTTTCCATAGCCTTCAGGCTGAGTTGGGAAAACTCTGGGTGGGGCTTGGCCAGGCTGCATTCGTATCCCAAGTATTCCCCTCTGCAGGGAGGGGAGAGGTCTGAAGCCCACTGACCAGAGCCTGGAGGCTAGAACCAGGGGTACCCACCCTTACCCTATTCACCTGCCCCTGGGCCTCCATTTCTCTAGCTCTTCTGTGAAATGAAGGAGCAGCCAACTCTCCCTGGGAATGAGTCTTCCTTCTTCTCTGCCCCTCCCCCACTCCCTCCTGCCCACAAATTGTATTGAGCACAAACCACACTTGAGGCACTTTTCTAGGACTGGGGCTACTCTAGCAAGCAAGACCAAACCCATCCTGCACTCCTAATGCATTCGGTCTCTCCCACCCCTTCTGCTTCTTGTGTCTCCAGCATAATCCCTGTCTCTCAGGAGAAATGGATTTTCCTTTTCAGAGCTCTTGGCCTCCAAGGCCAGAGGCCAGCCTCCTGTGGTTAATTCAGACACACTGGATTGAGAGTGGGAATTTGTGGTGAGACCTTTTTGTGTTGTGTCCCTTCTTCTAGTCCCCCACTCATGATTCCCTGGCTCCACCTCTATCCAGAGTGGCAAGCCTGAGTCACCTCACTCCAGAGTCAACTCGCTCCCACCTCTCATCTCTAAGCTTTAACCTGGCCCTTCTCCTGGACAGGGATGCCCTGGGCAGGTTAATAATTCAGCACTGAGGCTGAGCAATAGCTTTAAATATGTGTTCCAAGGGCATTTTTTTTTTAAGATTTTTATTGGGGAATTGGGGGGATGGGAACAGTGCTGGGGAATTAGGGGAAGGGGAACAGACAAGTTGCTGTCCTTTTGTTCTTCAGTCTAGTTGTGGAGGACATTGCTTCACTGGCCCAAGTTGGCACCATCATTGCACTCTTCCAGGGTGAGGCAGATCAGATGCCGGCTTCTGGACGGCCACTCACTGCGGCTGCTGGCCGCTCACGCTGGCTGCTGGCTATATACGGTAGCCCATGGTAACCCACTGCCACAGGGACTGCAGCCTACGCTGTCGCTGGCGCTCCAGCTCCAGGTTGAGCTGTTGTTCAGCATCTTAGCTGTGGAGGGCAGTGTAACTGGCCCTCGTATGTGAGATCCGAACCGGGGCCCTCTGGCATCCCAAGCCAGTTCTTAACCATTACGCCACTCGGCCGGCCCCACAAGGACATTTTGAGAAGAGGTTGAAGGGTAGGGACAGAGGTTTCCTGTGGCAATGTGCAGCATCTCTGCCACTCCTTCCAGCAATTCAACTCAGTCCCTAGGCTTGCATACCTCGCCGGGCAAAACAGAAGTTATGCTGCTGCCCAGCCCACTCTCCACAGAAGGCGATCTGTGGAATATCTGTGGTTGTTTGGGTTATATCTTATGGGCATCTCACTCTTCACCCCAATAAGCTTATCAGCGGCTTCCTTCCAGGCCCCCACTATGTTCCCTGGGGTGCAGTCCATTTCCTCCATCCCCACTGATGTTTTAGCATTTCTTGTAGCTTGTTTCCTGGTTAATTTGCGAGAATAGGCTCTATTTCTGACCCAGGACCTATTCCTGACCCTTCATCCCTGCTCCTTCTTTTTCCCAAGTCTGCCCTAGATTTTCTTCCTCCTGGAAACCTTCCCTAATTGCCTGTGTCTGAACCCACTAGACTCTTGTTGTCTCTGGTATAGCCTGGCTGCATCTGTTGCTATCCTGGACTCTGTTTCCGTCTGTCCTGGCCTGGACCTAGCTTCTCTTTTAGCCTGGAACCTTTGGGCAGGTTCTTTTTCTGCACCTAGGATGAGGATCAGCAGCTCAGTTTGTGCTGGGGCTCTGTTGGGGACTTGGGACTGGAACTATGCCCCATTCCCCTTACCCCTGGCTCTATCCCATCCATGGGTTTGTCTGAACATGAGACTGGAAGCTTCTCCTCCTTTCCTCTCCTGCAGGAATCCAGGAGAGTGGGCACCAGGTACTAGGAGGGTCACCCTCCTGTTCCCCACCCCACTGTAGCTGCTGCATTGGCTCTTGCACTGCTCTTCCTGTCTTCCCCCTCTCTACCTGGGTCAAGTCTAGACTCCATGGCCTACGCTGCAGGAGGTCACATCATTCCACCCCTGCTTTAGGGGGAGGTCAGCCCTGTTCTTAGATCCATGGGTCTCTCCGTCAAAAGCATCCAAGAAAAAGGCTTTTCAGCCCTCTTATGGGAGACATGAGTGGGTGAGCACAAGGCTCTGGAGCTAGAATTCTTGGGCTTGAATCCCAGCTCTGTCATTTACTAGTGGTATGACTTTGACCAAGTTACTTAACTTCTCTGTGCTTTAGTCTCCTCATCTGTGAAAAGACATTAATAATAATACCTTCTTACAAGGCCATGTGAGCATGGCCTTTCAGGATCCCAGAAGGAAACAAATTCACCCAAGATGGTTCAGTTTAATGGACTTTAATGAAAGGCTTACTTACAGAGGCATGGGAATGGCTACGGGAACAAACACAAGACAGAGGCTGGACGCTGGCAGCACTGGGAAGCCATTGGCACCCCAGAACTGGTGGGGCTAACCATCTGCTTTTCCAGGCCCAGGGGTTTTCTGGGATGTGGGACTTTCAGTGTTTAGTTCTGGTAAAATCAGGATGAGGTGGTTACCCTGTGTAGAGCTGGAGAGACAGGAGGAAGAAGCAGAATGACTAGATGATAGAGTTGGGGGACTGTAGAGGGAGATAACCTGGACGGAGGATGCTGCTAGTGCCGAAGCAGGGAGGGAGCAGGAAGAAATATCTGCCCTCCTTCCCTCTGAGGTCTCCTGCTGGGGTCTCCCATTGGCATAGCCATCTGGAAGCCAGAGAACAAGGGAGCAGCCTACCAAGGTCAAGGAGGTTGTTGAAGGGATCTGGGGTGGGAAGGAGGCCAAGAGATCCTATCCAGTGTGGAGACTAAGGCTGTTATTGCATGGATAGTGCATAGGTTCCTGTCTGCCCTATAGTAAGTGCTCAATAAATTGCTGACTACAATAACCATGACTATTAGGTTAGAAAGTCCTACCTCTGTATGGGGACTTCTCAAGGGCAGTGACTGTGTTTTCTTCATCCCTGTATCTTTTATATTGCTCAGCACGCAGCCTGGCCCATGGTGGGTGCTCAGTTGTCTTACCTCATCCCTCATTCCATGGCCCTCTTGTCCTGCTGCAGAGAGGAACCCTGGGCAGGTGACAGTCTCCAGAGATGGAGGCCCCTGAACCCAGCAGCAGTGGGAGAGGGAAACTGCTCCTCCTTGGGCTGCAGAAAGAAGGTCTGAGTTTGAGTGTTTTGTATAAAAGTCAAGTGGAGAGTTAGGGCAGGAGGAGGCACAGTGTCTCCCACATTCTGTCTGGGCTGGGACGGCTCAGATGTGCTGCCTGGGCAGGAGGCTGACTCTCTCCAGGAAGTGACTGTGAGAGTGGGCCAAGGATTGCCTGCTGTCTGTCACCAGCTCCCAACACAAAGCCTGGCACAGAGCGCCAGGTAAATATGTGTAGATGTCAGTCTCTGGGGAGGGGTGGAATGTGTTTGCACCCCACTCTACTCCCACCACCTTGGCTGCTCCTGACTCAGAGGGCTGACATCACTCCTTTCCCTAGGGAGGGGGGCCTCATTCACAACTGTCTCTCCCTCCCACACCCCCATTGGGGAGAGATAAGAGAGGCTGAGAAAATGATCACAGCCTCTGGGGCAGGAGACAAAGGTTAGTGGGAAGTGACAACTCAGTCCTGCAATCACAGACCAGTGCTTTTTGAAAGGACTTCCCTGACAGGTCCTGTTTGTAGGCAGAGGTAAGGAGGTTGAGAGTTGCTGGAGGATACACAGCTCAGTGGGGATTCATCCGCCCTCCCCAAAATGCCTGGTATCCTAGCTCTAAGTAGGGAGACAAATCCCCTTTTGGGCATTAAGGGACTAGTTCTGTGAGTGCCCCTCACCCTATGCCTTATGGGAGCAGGTTCAACTTCTTGAAACTGGGAGCCACTTACAGCTTCCTAGTGGCCCTAGGAAAGGATCCCACAGCCTCCTCTGGGCCTGGAGTGGGCCCACTCTCTGTTTGCATTCCTTGGGCTGTGGGGGATGGCCCCATATCCTCTTCTTTGGGATCCTGGGGACACAAACCAGTGAGAGGCCCAGCTCTAGCCCTAGCAGCTGTGTGAGGAGCATAACCAGTGCTGTCTCCACTTCTTCCCTCAGGCAAGTCTCTCTCCTCTATGCCACCCCCCCTTTTCTTCTGGCTGAAGGCTGAAGTGGATGAGCAGGGACAATCTCTAAAGTCACCTCAACACTCTTTTGTCCTAACATTTGACCAATATTTGCCATCTCCAAGACTTTCCTTGGGGCTGTGTTTGGTCCCAGTAGTCTGAAGCGGGTGGGGTGTGGAGGGGACTGTGTGAAATGATTTGAGGAGACCCCTGGCTCCTGAAGCCAGCAAAGGGGCTCCTTGTGGAATGGAAGACAGGAATGTTGGGGTGCTCCATGGGCTTCTTGGGGTTTTTGTTGAATATACGTTTTTTGGATCTATACCTATGTTCAGCAAGGATGGAGTGTCCTCTACGCACCTCCAGCTCCCTTCAAGGTGACTGGACACTTCTGGAGAGGCTGTGCCATGAGGCAGAAGGTCAGGGGTCTCAGATGATGGTCGAGGCCCTCTGTCTCTCTTTAGCCCCCAGAAGAGCGTGCTTTGCCCCCCTCATCTCCCTGGCTTCTGGGCACTGCCTGAAGAGCCCAAGCTTTTCTATTTCCTCATCAAGTGCCCAGCCTCCATGGTTGGACAGGAACCTTCTTTCTGTCCTCGCATCCACATTGCCCAGCACAGAATCTCCACCCAGCAGACAGCCTGCCAGTG